ATGTGAAGTATATATGAAATAATTCATATTTGAAGTGCGATTGTAGATGTGTTTTATTGCAGTCAAAATAAGAATCAAGACAACCTTCTTATCTTTTGTTCTCTTTATGGGAGTACCTACATTTATGTAGTTTCCAAATCAGGAAACACTTTCACAAACTCGTTAATAATTCATCAAGTTTAAACAAAGTAAATCATGACCATCACAGTGTTTGGATATGTGATCTTAATTAGCATAGATTTTGATTTTACTTCTCCATCTTCTCCTTGTTTTTAGTTTCAATTGAGAAAATACATCAAATGCTCAAGACAGTGTTTCACCACATTACCAAACACCTTGAAGTTCGTCAAAAACATTCTGTATGCACCATATCTTCAACAGTTACTCTCTTCTAGGTGTTTGTTAATGTTGTCAAACATGGTCTTTTTTGTTTGATGCATTACCTCAAGTACATTGACAAGGATGCAAGGTAAGCCATTTAGGACACATGAATTTGATTCAAGCAAATGACATCGCAGCTAAACAGCTACTGATGTATTGACTTCTACTTCAAGTACATGCAAATAAAAGGTTAAAAGGCTCTTGAGGCACTTCATCAACTAAAACAAGATATAATAGTGTATGTGTAATCTGCAGCACACATAATTTGCGACTTTAATCTATTGACTATGCTTCTGCATTTTTTAAATTTTCTTGAGGGTTAGTACTCAAAATTACTTATTCATATCACCCTGAAATTGCATTACTACCTGCATTGCGAAGTCAGTTGTAAGACAACCCACAGTTACATTAGCCGGGACTGCATCAAGAGTTTCTTTCCCCATCTGACTCTTGATGTGCTTTATGTTATCAGGTGTAATCCAGCCATCATCATCATCATCATCACTGTTGCTGTCCAAATCATCATCATTATCAACATCCTCGTCATTTTCCTCAAATCCCTCATCATTGTCTCGTGAATCATTTAATGTAGTATTATTTGTAGTCAGTGTCTCCATTCCAGTTGTAATTTCCACAGCTGTTGATTCACTGTTCTCGTCATTTGTAGTGTTACTGCTTATTTCAGTTCTTGAGAGATCAATTATATTTTCCTGACTTGTGTTTGGTTCGTTGTTGTGTTGCTGATCTGTTACAATTTCTTTGTGGTCTGTTCTGTCACTCTCTACAATACTAATTTCCGCCTCTTCCTTGTTATGTTCACTTTGTCCACTTTCAACGTTTGATTTCTACATGGCCAAAAAAAGAAAAAGAATGTTATTTAGATTGCTAGATAAACAGCTAGATGACACCTATTAAGATAAGGTAAATATTGATATAGTACTGTTAAAAACGTGGTTTTGCTACCTCTTAGGGTGTTAAGCCTCAAAAGGTCCACAGTGGGAGCTTTTGCGGTACTTTTTAGGATATTGGGCTGAAAAAATATCACAGGAGATAATGTGTTATGAATTGGCACCCCTTAGGGGAGAAAAAAATTTAAGCCACGCTGACAAAAATAGATCTTGGTTCCTCTTAGGTGTTCTTTTCAAAATTTCCGACAAGCACCTCGTCTTTTTTATATAGGGGTCCCTCCCTCCCGGGGGTATATATCCTGGTTTTATAGCATAACACAGCATTCAACTCACTTTTTCTACAAAGAACCCAGGAACTAGCTTTCCTGTGAATCCCTGAGTGAACTCAACCTGCAGATAGACACATTCAAATACACATCAATGCTACTTAAAGATATTACGACTTCTGCTCTCCTGCTTATAGTAAGTTTCCTAGACAAGTTAGTATTCGGGCTTTAAAATAGATACATTGTATATCACCCTGTTGTGGCTATTTGTAGTTTAGATGATATACTATGCCTTTAGAATTTTTGCATTTCCTTGTATCCAAATTGGCATTTTTTTTTTTTTGCAGATTTCTATTTAGCTGATTTGAGGAGGTACCTAAATCACGTTCTGACCTGTTTGGTGGGTCTTGTCTTAATGTGGTCTATTCCACAATGTTCCTTTTCCAGCTGGTATGTGAGAGCCAGAACTCTCAAGTCAACAACTGAAAGACTTCTGAAATCTCCTGTCAGTTTGGCAAATTCTGACACTGTAAAATAACACACAGATTACCAAATAGTCAATTTAAGCAAGGTGAATCTAGAATAAATAACCATTTTACATTCACTTCTGTATACATAAATTATCACTAACATTCTATTCTTCCTTAGTATAAATCTACTAGTGCTCTATCATGAATGATAGTGAGTAACGTAGCACTGTGCGCTTGTTAACAAAATGATGGCCAATTCTTTGCATTTTTGAGGTATCTGTGAAGACGATTTAGATGAAGTTTTGAGTGACTAGTAGATTTATACTAAAACAATTAGATTATTCGTTATTGATTTCTATACCCGATCACGTGATAGGAATCTTGAGCTCATAATCCAATTGCTTATTATTGTTGAATTTGACAACAAATTTCATATTATGACTTAGAGGGCTGTCAACAGATTCAGTTCTTCCCTGCTTTATGTTAACTGGATCTTTGTGGTGGGTGGGGAGGGGGAGGGGGTGTGAGAGGGTAAGCCAAGTCAATTTCTGAACCTTAGTGCAGCACATTTTTTACCAAAAGCAAAATAATTCACTTTCATGTCAAGAACAGGACACAACAAAAACAGGAAGTTTTCACTTGCATCTGTGATTGGCACACAGTTGAAATAGACTTACAAGTATAGAAAAATTAAAGCATACATGTGGTAAGTAGATAGGAGGTGAAATGTTGTTGACCAGCAGATAAACGCATTGAAAACTTAAATACATGACAGCCCTCCAAGACCACATACTAATGATTATGGTTCTCTCTTCTGAATACCGTGGCCAGAAATTATAAACATATGTGACACCAAGAAGACACTGTCACAGTTCCAATAACCAGGCAAAAAAGAGTAAGTTTCATTCAATTTATAAAAGCTTTTTCATCATGTTACAGGCAATAGATTGTGCTGAAATCTTCATGTGTGCACCACAAAAGTAAACTGTAGTGACTGGAGTGCAGTCACTACACTGTAGTCACTACTTGCCTTGGGGAAGCAAGATTCAAAATGAATTTAATTTAAGAACAAATCGATGATCACTGTAAATTAGTTTTTATATAAATTCATTTAAATGTACTTAGTTTTTCTATTTAATTATTAAGTGTATTCGGAGATACTAGCACAACAGTGCTACTGTAAAAAATCCAAATAGAAATAAAGTTTATGAATGTGTATGTTACCATGTGTGTAATGTTATGGAGGGGACAGGGGAGGGGATATGACCTAGATGTCCATTATTGGACATTGAGCAGGGAACATGTGAACATGTCAGCAGGCCCTAAAATCAACAGGGAAAAGAAGAAAAAACGTTTTAATCTAAAACAGAAGAAGTTGAGACACTTTTAGAAACTGGCACTTTTGAATATTTAACCTCTTATTCTATTTTATTTGCATCTAGTGTTAATTCTCTCATGCTCCCACCCCCCAATTCAATGTTGTGTAGGTGCTGTAGTCTGTGCAGTCTAAGAAATAGAAAAATCAACATTGTTTGGGGGGGAAGGGGGGGAAGTGTTTCTAGATGCTCGGAAATCGAAAACTGCCAAGTGTCTTAACACTTTCATCGCACATTGTAGGTTAATTTTGAATACAAGTGACTTATAAACAGCTGGGATCTGGGTCTATAGTGCAGTTGTATAAAGGATAGATTACTTCATTCATTGGACAAATCACTATCCAAGGCCACTGGATAGCATGGTTTGGTTTTGTGTAAATGACTCAAGTCACTACATCTCCTTTATACTCTTCCTCCCCAGTCCTAGTCAAATAGTCAAATTTTAGGTGTTTAAATTGTAAAAACTTATTTTATTTATTTTGTCCCCTATTAGTAGAGGGTTTTTACCCTTGGCTAGACTTCTTTGACAGGTTAATAAAGTTCTCATTCATTCATTCATTCATTCATTCATTCCTCCTCCGTGGTTCATAAGATACAGCCGTGTAACAGGTGATGTACGTCGGGTTGAGATTTAGAAACTAAAATTAACTGTTTAAAATCCAGTTATCCAAACCTTACCAGCGTGCAGTGCCTCTGTGGTTGGTTCTCTGAAGTGAATACTGTAAGGCAATACCGCCAAACGCTGCTTAGTTGCCGCATCTCTGATCTCATTTATGACATCTTCAACCGTGTACACGTTGTCACACAGTTCGTGAAGCGGTGCATTCTTCAGAAAAGCAGCCGCGTCCGCCACTATGTGTGTTATTTTGGCAGTGCTTCCTTCCGCCATCTTGGTTTCCTCGTGTTTTTCTATTGATAACCGCTGACCGAAATGTCTGGAATAAAAACTTGCGCCAAACTTGCGCAATCACCGCGCCATACACAATGCAACACGGGGATAACAGGGGAGGTATTAGTAGTGCTAAGAAGGGAGGGGAGGGTAGGGTAGTTACCACGCGGACATCAGTTTTGAACGACAGAAAGATTTTCGCAGAAGTTACAAGACCTTACAACAGGTTTAGCTAGCAACCCGCACAAAGTGTCAAGTTGTGCTTATCTCGTGATCTCTTCTTGGGCACTCTGTACGGGAAAATAACTTGTAAAACAGATTAATTACCAAGTCGAAGATTCCCTTTTTTCGGTCTTCTAAAGAGAATGGAACAGGTCATAGTTTTTGACTGGGCAGGAAATGTAAGTTCATCGGCGTAAAGGCTGACGCAGACGGGTGCTTCAAACTGGGACTTCTATAACGCGCGCTACCAGTATGAAGTTAGAGGTTTAAATAGGTGATTAAAATTAGTTTAATAATACGTTCTCTGGGCTCATCACGCAATCTTCCTGGGAAAGGAAGATTGCGTGACGGGCAGAAAGTCTGCGTAGGAGGCCAAGGTAACCTAAGAGAGCAGATCTGAACGAATGCTCGGTAAATAGATCAGGATAAGGAACGGGGGCAGTGAGAAGTTTCGAAGGACAATGTAATGTGGAAACACAGGAGAGCATAGCGCGCAAACGACGACAACCGGCCAAAACACAACAACAGCGGCTTTTGTTTTTGACTAGATCAGGGTTTGGTAGCCAAAGTTTCGTCGTGGTGGCATAAGGTGTTAGTTCTGAGACAGAGATCTCTGTCCCCCTCCTATGTGGTTAGCAACTTAGGATACTTTACCTCACAGCTGTGTTTTTTTTTTTTACATTCAAACCATTCAACTGGATCAGTAACGGGGAATTCAGTGCGGACTGATCATGCGTCTGATGGACTAGCCTGCTATCCAACTTAGAAGAGGGTCAGAAACTCAACTGATGGAGGGGTAGTTAGGTTTTTGAACTCTAGATCGGAAGGACTGACGTGGTAGCGTGATAAGCGAGAGAGATAATAGGAAATCCGTCGATATTTTTAGAGATTACGTCGAATTTCGGCATCTGAGACGATTAGGACCCACCCTGGGAATACTGTCAGGCCGTGAACCACTGACATCATAGGGTAGTTTACCTCCTTCCGTCGTTACAGAATCCATTACTCCTAAAAAACCGAGGAGGAGTTCCGGAACTAAACAGTCTAAACTGACAAGAGAATGAAACTGTGAGACAATAAGTCTAATCTAATGACCTTCCTATCCTAGGCTCCACACCAAGAAAATACTGATTACAGTAATCTTTTCACGAAGAGGGAGCGGCCGCCCCGGAACCTCGTCCTGGGACCTCCGATCCCTATTCCGATCTATTTCCCCTAGCAGGTACAAAACGCAGGTCACAGGTCACAGGTTAAAGGCAGTTATTCCAAGTTTCTTTCATATGAATATATACTAGTTATGTAACGCTATCGAGTGGTATACTTACAGGTTAACGCACTCAGCGAGTGAATTATCGGGATTTACCTGCACGAGTTCACTAACAATGAACGAGAAATTTCAACACCGCACTCGGCAAAGCCTCGTGCGGTATTGAAAATTTCGAGTTCATTATTAGTGAACGAGAACAGGGAAAAACTGATATCTAACCGAGAAAAGGAAGAAATAGTTTTTGCTGAGAATTTGAAAGTGGACTATCTTATTGCCTATATAGGCGACATCGAGAAATGCCCGTACTTAAGTTTAAACTCAGAAATTTCGGTGCACAATGCAATGTGGGATTACAGGAGAGCAAAGCGCGCTGACTTCTGAATCCCCGCGAAAAATACAAAAACAAAAACAGAACTTGCTTTCTCAACTGACCTTCGCTTGGATACAGAAAACAGCTGAATGACGTCCTCAAGATTCTTATCACATTAAATGCACGTCAAATGAGTCGTATACAAAAGAGAAAGCTACAGATTGAGTGTGCACAACTGTTCAACTGATATCTCGTGATCCTTTTTTAAGGTGCTATATTTATTCATTGAAGCCCTATGTTGAAGCTACATTTGAGCTTATAAGCTAGTTAATAAATTACGTTTTGATGAGCGCCACTAAAGAACTATTCTGCGCAAATTCGGAAGTAATGCTAACTAGTAATTCAAATAAACTTGGCGACATAGCATTCTGTACTCGTCGATAACAAAGTTAGTATACTCTACGAGGTCAGCGCCGGCATCAATCAGCCATGCGCAGCAGTCAAAGTTTCCAGTAGTAACAGCCGCGTGAAGAACGGGCCAACCAGATTCGTCCAAAATGTTGACGTCATGACCTTCCTCGACCAATAGTTTTACGTGTTCTAAATCTCCATTTGCGGCTGCGCGATGGAGGCAGGAGGAAGATTCTGCAAATGCAAGTTGTTGGACACGAGATGAAGACTCGGCAACCATCTTGTTAAATATTTCTATATTGTGTTCGTAATCATTTGTAGGTTCTTGTTGTTCTTCCACTGTGTCTCGTGCAGAGCTGACTTCGTCATGAACAATTTGACTCCGGAGGACGTCTCTTCTTTCTTCCGACACAATTACGTTTTCAACAGGTGCTTGGCAATCTGTTGTTTCATTTAATTGATCTTCACAAAGAAAATTTGTTTCATGTTTGTTACCCCCTTGTTCACCGCAGCTTGAGAGTGTTTCAAAGTTTTCATTCTCGTTCGGCTCCTCAGGAATTTTTTCCATTTTGAAAGACGCAGGAATTGAAAAGCCTCGCGCCCTTACAACTAATGGCGGATCAGCGACAAAACTTGAGTTTGAGATTTGTGCCTCGAGATCTTCACAGTCGGAGCTTCCATCACTGTTTGATTCTTCATTTAGTATTTTTTCTTCTTCTGGAAAGCTAGGCATACTTTCTCTGTCAATCTGACTTTCACAGTCTTCGATACCAACAGTGTCATAGAAATTTCCCTCTGCAATCACTATTTCAGGAATGTTACTGTCATCTTCCAGAATTTTCGCAACAGGTGTAAAATCGAGACTTCGCTTTCCTTCCAGAACGGCTGGGAGTGATTTTGACCTTCCTCTAAAGCCAACATTGTGATCTTTATCATTAATCTGCGAGAAAAAGATATCTATAGCCTTATTTAAATCTTCCCGAATGTCAGAAATTTGTCTGTGCTGGGCTCCTTGTAGTCGTAAAGGAAGTGACCTCGCCCTTTCTAACGGTGCTTTGTGTTTAATACTTCCGTTGCCATGAAGTGGCTTTCGCTCGGTGTTAACCGCTCTTTCTTTTTCGCTGGAGCCATCATTGTGAGTTTGGGAGTGAAGCTGTATGATTTCAGCATCACATAAAACTTCCTGTTCATTAAAACCTTCGTAAATAAACGGCAGAGATTGCGTTCTTCTTGCCTTTGTGTTAGAGTCATGTGAGCTGTCGTGACTTTGTAAACTGCTTTGTCTGGCGTGTTTTCTTAGACTCAATGACATGTTAGCTTTTCCTGCTTCATCTAAAACTAAGGGCAAAGATTTTGAGCGCGTTCTTCGAGATTTTTTTCTTTCTCGTGAATGTTCATTGCTTTTGTCGATATGGTCGAGCGGTTGACGGAAACAATATTCGCCGTGGCGGCAATTACTAAAATTAGGATAGTCTTCTTTCAAAGGAACTCTCGGTTCGCCAACAAAACGTAAACTTGTCAAGGGAAGTGATTGACTTCTTTGCCGCGCTTTAATTTTCACAGTTTTCTGTGACACTGAATCCACTCTGAAATCCGAAGCGAAACCGCTTTTTTCACTGCAGGCCTCCGTGGAAAGATTACTTTGTTCCAAATGACACGGCAATGAAGTTCGTCTCCTTTCAAAGTCTGACTGAAAAAACTCATCCTCCATGTCTTGTTTGCCACTCTTCAATTTAATCATCGACAGTTTATCGAAGTCGGTAATCAAACTGTTAGACTTGTCCAAATTTGTGAAATCCAAGGTGGACGAGTTTGTCATGTCTGTTGTTTCACTGTGTGAATTTTTCCCACGGTCTTCAAATTCATGTTGTATACTCACTGGAAGTGATAACCTTCTAAGAGTTAATTCGTCTTCTCGATAACCTTCTCCGCTGGTTAGTGTTTCTGTTGTTTGCTCTCGGTTCAGCGCTCTACAACCAATCTCTTCCAGCTCTTCCCCTGTGTTACTGCCGCCGTTAATTCCTTGCTGTGAGTATTCTTCTGGGATCAAGAAAGGAAGAGATTTACAGCGTTTGCTTCTAACGGGAACTGCTGATTGTTCTGATGTATGTATTGCTGTTAGAGTGGGCTCTAAATTGTTGCCTGTATTCCCGTCAATGGTACTGGAGGTGAAAGCTCTCGGCCTGGCCTCCTCGTTCCGTTCATGTCCTTGTCTCAGTGAATCGGTTTTTGTGCTTTCCATGACTGCTCTCGAGTGTCTCCTCTTTTGTTTTCGGATCAATCCCCCACTTGAGAGCTTTACTTTCGGCCGAGTTATGTTTCTTGGCGATCGAGTTTCAAGAAATCTTGACCCTTCGCTCGCTCTTCTTTCAACTACACAATCCTCCTCCGCACGATCCAATACTTTTTCTATCTGCGTTAAAATTGGAACACTGTATGAGCGATTTCTGTGAGAGCCTTCCATTTTCATAGGCTAAAAGAATAATCTGTCTTCAAAACACTTGTGAGTTAAACAAATCGAGCGGTTGTTCAATTGGCAGTCGTGACAAAATTGTGTATTTTAAGTAATTATTTCAGTGCTTTGTTATCTCGCCTGGCAGGAACACGTCAAACGTTAGCTGTTATATTCTGGCGTTACACGCATGGGAAGTGAAGCGTTATACCGGCTACACAACCTGCCGCAGGTCAGACTTTTCTTTGTCTGTTAAGAGATCCTAAGAGGCTTATTATTGTCAGGCTTTATCTAGAAGCTTGTGGATGGATTATGAAGAATAAAAAGAACAAAAAAATGTCGCAAAATTCGTCATTTATGCGCTGAAAGAATGACTGGTCCGATATCACAAATAAATTTCATTAATGCGAAAAAATAAAACAAAGGAAAGATGACACTAGCAAATACACGTACCTACGAGACATTCAAAACCTTCTTCTTTTGTTTCAATTTATTTGAGAAGTAACGAAATTATATCAAAAAAATTCTAGTTGACTTACCAGCAAATCTCTAGCGTTTTTGCGTTGGAAAACTGGCGGTCGGTCAATATAATATTCGATGTTCAAATCCCAGGCTTGTGAAATTAGCCATGTAAATTTCCTTAATAAACGAGAGAAATATCACCTTGTCATTGGTGAATAGCAAATCCGAGCAGCTGTCCTACAACACGCTTTTTCATCGTGTTCATCACCTAGGTAACGATAAAATGAAAACTTTCTAGTCGCGTTTCGTGCCAAAGTGAACGAAAACCGCACAGACCACGAGAGATTTTTTAGATGTCTAGACGACGCCCTTGAAACTGTTACATAACTTATATTGAAGCCACGGATCATATCGAAAGCTAGACCATAAGGTATGCCAAACGTTTTTATTATACAGTAACACATGATTGCGCTTTTTTCGGAAATGCAAAAAGAGTTATCTACTCGCGTTTTTGATTACGTTTGGCCGATGAAATGAACTGATATCGCTAGCCCAACACCGGAAATCACGAAAATAAACCTTGAGCCTGTATTTTTCAAATGGCTCTATATATCGGCCAGGATGTCAATGGGCTTTCCGGAAGCGAGTCAATCCACGATTTTCTTGGTGCCAATAATCACGGAAACTGGGGATAGCGTCACGAGTAATGCATGCGCAGTTGCCACTAAGACCTCGAATCAAAATGGCGTCGACTATTAAAACAGCGTTGTTTGATCATTAGAACATTAGACATTTATTAACGTTAAAATCCCTCTGCAAGACATGTAGAAACCTCTCTACAGTCTACCGCCTGACAGACAAGATACGAATTTCTGATGTTATACCAAACTACTGACAAGCAAAGCTATCACATGCTGGCAAGCAAACAAAATAGGACAAAGAGCCGCCCCTTTATCGGCGGACAATATCCTGGCTTCAACCAAATTCGCCTCGGATACACTGTAACAATTTCATGTCACTTATGCTCCAATCTCAAGAATAAAATAAAATAAAATAAAATACATTTTGATGTGACCCATCAGTTGTAAGGTAAATTTATTTTTGGCTACACCAACTATCCTTGCTCGACAAACCAATGCCGTCAAATTGGCCCTTTTCATTCGAGGTCGACTAATTTCTGTTTTTAAAATCAGCTGTATAAGAGTACATGAGCGATCGAAGATGATGAATAATAATATTGGAAAAAGAAAAAAATGTATTTCTTCATCAGAAGAATATTGTGTTCAGCACCAATTAATTTACTAAGTAACTTTGAACGCAAATTTTGATGAGTCACAATGTCAACTGCATTTCTAACACATGTAGTCTGTGTTTGTTTTTACGATGGTGAAAACTCCTTTTCCAGGTCTGTTGATTAGGGTCTAAAACTGGCCGTTTAAAACAACTCGTAAGAGTCACTGTCCTTTAGACGATAAATTTACCAATGACAACTCCAAATATCAAAGCTAAGATTAGATAAGCTATCGTCATTGGTGGCAAATTCACACTGCTGTTTTCTGTGGGGACTACGGACACACTGGATGAAGACGCCTGCGTTGCTGGGGAAGACAGCTGATCAACATTTTTCCTGAGCCGGACTGTCTCAGCCTGTAAGCACAAACACAGCATCATTACTATGTGAGATACAATCCATCACTGACTTCAAACAAGGAATAGTCAGGAAAATATGGATGATAAGACGGAGTGTGATAGAATGATAAAAAGCTGAGAGGGAACAGGAAGGAAGATAAGCCTTATAAGATACAAGCTTGCTGTTTGGGGCAAGACAGAAGCAGCTCATTGTATCCAATTGACTGGACATATTTTACAACAAAATTGTTCATAACAACTGACAGCCTATATGGCAACAACTTGACAACTCGAGGTACTAGACAAAAACTGGTTTCAAAACTCTGTTTGATTTAAAAGCCTCGCTAAACTACAAAAGCAGAGGTTGCTCACCAGGGACAAAGCAAGGAAAGCACCGTGTGGTGCTACTCAAGAGGGGTCAAAAAAATGTAGGTACTGGGTTGTAACGAAAGGCAGTTTACACCAAAATCTTGGAGCATTAAATTTTGGGCAAAAAATACACACATTGACTATGTCAAATGATACATACCATTAAAATAGTCTTTTCAGTTTTCAGTTTTTCTATTTCCTCATTCATGACTCTTCTTTCATCAGAATCCTGTTTAAAATATTGATCCCACATAGAAATCACAAAAAGCTTTACATTTTGACAAACTGCAATCTTGCCATGTAACTGACTTCACGGTGCAGTTCACATTTCCAGACAGAGAACTTTAAAATGTATGTTAAAAAGAATGCAATGGAAATGCACAGCAATGAAAGATTTTCTTGAGCCAGTTCATTGTCATTGAAAACCCACACATGTAAGTTTTACTTTTCAAATTGAACAAATGTTTTCATAATGTACACTGGCCTTAGCTCTCAACTGACGAACAGGGGATTAGTTAAGGGCCAGACACTGGGCAAACTGGCCAGCTTTGAGAACGATTTTAATGGCCCAGTTTGACCATCATGAGGAAATTCTTTTCCTATAGAAAAGCTCGGTTCTAAACATATTGCTTCCCTGTGACTACCAATTGCCTTCCTGTCATAAACCTTAATGAAATCCCTGAATAAGTATACGAGAATTATCTCAGGTATTGTAAGGAGATTGTTTTATGACAAGAAATCCTTGAATCGTGAAAACTTTACTTGAGCAATGCACATATATTGTCCATCTTGTATAATAAAAGAAACCAAATTGGAACAGCAAAACTTAAGGGCTTGTACTTCAGGCTAGCAATAGAGTCGGTGACAAAGAGAGATGAGTTTGTAAAGTGACAAAAGTCTCTTGTGATGGTTGTTATTTAGACTAAGTAATAAGGCAGCAGTGTCACTGCAACGTGTCATGCAACAGCATTGAATTGAGAGTTAAAAACTGTTGTTGCACATATAACCAACCGTGATTAAGTTTCAGCAACAAGTTACAAAGTAGACATGAGTTCAACTCTACACATCATGTTGTCATGACACAATATAGATGGTGAAATGCACAACAACACTTTTCACATTGGAATGAAACGTTGTAGGACGAGCTGCCCATAATACTTAGCCATTACAAATGCCAGTGATTTGTGGACTTGTGCAAAGCTGATAGAATTATACAGTTGTAACAGAGAACAAAACAATGGTGTAACAAAACTACTGAATTCTTTGAAGCTTTGAGAGCTAGGAACAATAAACACCAAATGGCTGTTCCTACGAGTCTTAAGTTAAATAACTTTTAGCCCACTCTACAGCCTTGCTAGCAGCACCATGAGGGCCAGATTGGTTTAACATAAGCCATTCTAAGAAACGCTGTCTGATCCTGCAAAGTGCATGTATACCATGCACTATTCATGGTGCATTTATACAACTTTCCATTCCAGTGCCTGCTCCATAAAACCTGCACAAAGACATTCCTGTCCAAGCTTCTTGATAAATAACAGCTTCCTAATTAGAATATTACATCATTATGTGGCTACTGTACCAGCAATGATTTTGTTGATGTTGGAACTTCCACTCCTGGATCAGCATAAGAGCTATTTTGAGTAGGTGCAATCACAGTACTCTCTACTGCTAGAGTTTCTGTCTTGGACGTCTTAGCCACAGGAGGCTGTTCTTTGCTCAAATTCTCACTTTCCTACCAGGGGCAGAGAAACATCAAGAAATTAGTCAGCAAAAGGGTACAGAGTAAAACCATGCTGTTAAAATCACTGAGAAAACATCATGACAATACAGCTAATGTTATAGCTTACAAAGGCATGCATGTGAGCTATAGTGAGAGGCTGCTATCACTGGACACAATGCTCTCTCAAAATGTTCTTGACACACAAGTCAAGGTTCAGTTTAAAATCATTCTTCTTTCAAATTTTGGGAAAAACCTCGTAAGCATACAAGAATGATTTACAACAAATCGTGTTATGCAACCAGGGCAACCTTTAGAAGAACAGCCTACAATATCATCATGTCACCCAACAAGACTTGGTGGTCACTGCTCCAAGAGAGCCCACATCAAGGTTGGTTGAGGCATCTTGCACCCCACACAACACACCACGCCGTTTGATGTGTAATGCTGTTTTAAACAGTCGTGTCCCATGATTGTCAACTGGGTCAACTGCATTGATCTCTATAATCATTGCTTAGACCCTCTCATGGCACAAGAGGATTTGTTATACCACCTAACTAAAATATGTTCTCCAATTGGAAGAGAACATGTCACGTGTCATGGGTCAAAACTCACTAACTCCCTAGGAAAACAACAACTTGGACTTTTATCTAGCACTCGATCAGGTTCGTTGTTCACGTAGAAACTGCAGCAAGTTTGTGTGCCAGCACAGCTTGTTCTATTTTTGAGTTGGAAGGTATAAAACACACTAATGACTGGTACCACAAGTTTTTTTCCCCTCGATCCTTAATGAGGGTCTCGGTGAAACAAAACTCGCTGTTCCCTTAGGGCCACGTATTCAGTGCTTAGTGCTAACCTATATTAACTACAGCACTTACATTAGTGCCCACATTCTCCACATGTTTAGCTTCACCCTCCTCCACATAGTCAAAGACACATTTCAACTTGGAGTCCATGAATGCACTCTGGTCAGCCTCTTTCCACTGTTATAATTAATAAGTCAAATAAAGAGTTATTGTCGACTGAGTGTGAGTGGAAATACTCACCAAGTTCTTTCTTTTGTTCATGTGGACAAAGACAAGATTATCACCCACTTATAAACAGAAAAATGAACAAGGTCGATGTTTTTTTCAGTAACAAGTGATTAGCAGCAAAGTATGCGAAATTGTAGGCAATGTGACAGACAACGCATGGCTGTTGATATTATTACCAATAGAAACGTGGTAAGTTGCCCATGACAGCACCATAATTTTAAGGCCAAAACATTGTCATTAATATCACTACTCTACATGTATGTAGATAAAGGTAAGGAAACTATTCAATTCTCAAAAAGCTTGGGGTAGTTTTTTGAGAGAAAATTCAACTCTAAAAATTTGCACAAAAATCAACTGTGGCAGTACAGTACAGGTCAGAGATAAGCCACCACAAATTCACAAGAAAAACATGTTACCAAAAAAATCCATTAAGGCAACAGTGCGTGTCCAGTGCAAATAAACACACAGCAAGACTCTCTACCATGTATGAGATAGCGCATGACCATCGTTTTCCTAGTGTTGGTGTTTTATTGTGAATTTACAAAACTATCCTGGTCCCAATGGTTTTCTTTCTTCTTCCTGCTACTGAACTGAAAAAGTTGCCACGGAGGTCAAAGTGAGTGAAAGAAGTAAACTGTATTGATTGTCCCTGCATAACTCGTTTTGTTCTTATCATTTGGAACTTATACAAGAAAACATTCTTCCATTTAAAGCACTTTGCTCTGACTGTTAGAATCAGAAATACTGAACTTTTAAACTTTTCACGGTAATCTAGCAAAACAGTTCACGCAGACATGAATTGCCTATTAACTATAAGTTGGCTGGCAAAAATAGTACAAGAATCATGTACTTAACTTAGTGACCAAAGGAACCATCATTGATAAAGTTCAAGACTCTTTTCAGCTTCTCCACTTCTGCCATGCTTACGGCAGTATTTACATTGTATTATATTAGATCGTGTGAATTTTTGGCCTCAGCGATTGTCCAAACAATGCAATGTGTTTTAATCTTGATGCCATCCTGATAACTTATTCATGATTCAAGGTGGCTGGATCATTAAGAAAGAAACATAAACAACAAAGCATTATGTTAGTTATGCAAATTTAGATGTGGCGACAGTATTTTGGAATTTTCAAAACAATTTCAACAAGGCAAATTTATAGCAGTGCAAAACAAGGGCAAAAATGTGCAGAAGAATTGAAAAGAAATGTGACAATTGCACCTCTATTTTACATGTCCTTATTAAGCCATTGACGCCTGTGCTGGCCGTAACTGGCCACGTTAAAACCACCCCCCTAATCCCTGTGCCGGCCGTAACCAACCATAAAAGAAGCATGTGAGGACAATTGCCTTTCCTACCCTCCCTGGAGACTTTTTGGTTCTCCTAATGTTCTATTATTGTTAAGGATAAATAAACCAATAAAAATTGACTTTCTGAGCATATTTTTAGAGGACTTAAGGGGTCCAAGAGAGACAGTTTTTCGTCTTAAAATCATGCGCTTGAAAAGTGCAGGTAATCATGGTGCGTTGCAGGTCAAATCTAAAAGCTTCCAAGGTCTTGTTTTCATTCCTAAAACTGAGAAATTACTTCTTTGGGACTTAAAATGGAAAGGGAAGACACAAATCAATGTTTAGGTGGCCTCAGAATGGAAGATCAAGGTGTACAGAGTCATCAAACCTTTCTGGCGAAGAATTTTTTCTTCCTTCAACCACTGCAAAAACGGTGCGTTTTCAAGTGAGTTTTGCATACAGATCATGGATTAAAAGCAGCTTCCCGGACTTAGGAAAACAAAAATGGTAATGTACAGTATTACTTCGAAGTTGAATTCAACTTTTGGAATGATTAGTAAAGCCATGACTGATAAATTGTCTCAAAAGTAGTCAGCAAAAACTCAAGCTTTTGCTTTAGGGTGAAGAATTAATTTGAACATGCGGTCATGCAGCGAAGCAAGTCTGCCAAATTTTGAACATTTTTTTTGCTTTCAGATACATGTAGGTTATTTTGCTTCATCTTGAATGAAAATTTCTTATTGAACTTCCTGTCATGTTTCTGTCATTTGGTTACCTTTATTTGGGAATTTTAGGTTTTTTAAAGGTTTTTTAAAAGTTTTAGCTCTCTTTAAAGGTTTTTTAGGTTTTTTAACAGTATTTTGCACGCTGGATTTCTGCGTATTTAATTTACCATGAATCTCCGCAGTTCGTTGTTTAGTCTATTCGCTTGGTTCAAAAATGTTTTTTCAGTATTATTCAGCTACTACAGAACTCCTGCGAAAAGAACTAGGTGGGCACTAATTAAACACAGTTGAAATAGATTTATTTCAAAATAATTGGCTTGTTTTTGTTGTCTTTTTGATTTACAACTTTCATTGTGCGACAAAATATTACAGTGCTGCAAAGAAATTAATTGATTCCTTGTTTTCAGATTGATTTTTACATGTGTCTTTCGCTTTTATTTTCCATTGTGTTCGTAAAGGTTAGCCATTATAATACAAGAATGGATATTCTGTTGTATTTGGTTTTATTTTGTCCTCCGAAGTCAATAATTAACTCATTTTCTCATATTCAATTTTCTCGGCTTCCATGGGACATTTTGCTGTGCGGTAAAGAAATAATATAATTTCTTGTTTTCTTATCAGTTTCACAGATCAAGTTGAGTTCTCTTTGTTGATTTTTTAAAATATTTTGGCCCTTCATTTATTCAACTTAGAATATACGATGTCTTGAAGTCTGATCTTGTGTCTGTGATTACTATGCATATGGTTTATTTTTGTACTTTTGCTCACTCTGAAATATTCCAAAAAACGCCAGGGAATTAGGGGCGGGTCGTGAGCAATTTCATGCAGGTGTCAATGGGTTAAGTCCTTTACCTCTCACATGTACTGTACATTTATTCTTCGTAAGTCATCACCTACCAGTGTTTCATGATCAACTTCTCCTTCTGGGGCAAACATTGTCTGAACCATAAACTTGTGTTTGCTTTTCTCCTTTGGATCATACTCAAATGGCTGCAACATCACTATAACAACACAAGAACACTTGAAAAATAGACAAACTACATGTACTCAAAATCACTCTTACAGTCTTGTATTTTCACTTAACAAGAGAACAAATAGTGTACATTGAGAGAAAAATGGTCAGACAATGTGCAAGTCTAAATTCTACTCAAAGCTTCTGAAACTAGTCAGAAGAAAGATGCCCCATCTCTTCCAAATGTAGTAAGCCCAACCTTTTAAAAAAATGCACAACTCGTCCTAATAGCCCATCTTAAGTAGCGTAACTACCAACAACAAGCCCAGAAAACAATATTTCAAAATATAAATCAATACCTTGAAGAAATGTCCACGCCAACCCTTTGTTTATTCGAACACAACACTATTTCATGCCCAAAAATGTTATCAAGAAATACATGTATAGTACATGGCAATGAGTAACCATTTTACTGGTTTGGAATATTGTTTTACTATTACTTACTACATCTAATATCCTAATAATACACTTAGAAAAAAAACACTTGATTCTGATTGGCTATGAGCCAACACCAATGCAGAAAGTGTAATACAAGTGCAAATTACAACAAAGATTTCCAAAGTATGAAGACACTACTAACAATCATCCAAGGTGTTTCAAAGGCGGTCAAGGTTTGCCCAAATCGTTCAAAGAAAGTCAAAGACAATTTAAGTAGACGTCTGTCAAACATTTCCGAAGATCACCAAAACTCTTCCGAAGATTTATGAATATCATCTGAACATGTTTGGACAACTCCAAAAACACCTGAACCCTTCTACAGATTTCCAAAGAGTTTTGAAGTTCATCCAAAGATAGCGTAAGACTATCTTCTTATTAACCGAGAGTGAGGTCTTAAAAAGAAAATCTCAAATCGAGACCTTGCTGTATTGAGTAAGCAATAGCAAGGTCAATATGGCAAGGTCAAGGTTTGAGATTTTTCTGTAAAGACCAGACGTTCAAGGTTAATAAGTTGTTTATTACATGGCTTTTTCTTTGTTTTTGCAGGCCGTAATCAGCCTGTGGGCATTATGGGAGAATAATACCCTAGAATTAGTCAATCAGATTGTGTGTTATATTGGCTACAAACACAATAATGTCAAATATTATCAATGATTTTCCAACATTACCAGAAGTTTTGCAAATATTTTCAGAAATTTCAAAGATGGGCATTGCACACTGCTTTAGTATTCAACTAATGTATACTCACAGGTTGCAAATAGTCTTCTTTTAAGTGTATTATTAACGAGCAGTTACATGATTATACTCATGTAATTTCAAATAAACAAGCAATTGTAATTTAATCCAAAACTTTAAGTTGCACTCACCCTATGGGCTTGGCAATTTTCTTCGTCTCTTGGAAAATTTACACATGCTTATTCATTCAAATTACCCTCAAAATAATGTGATACCCTATGCAAATTTAATTTCACACCTAAACAAAACATTTGCTTTTGCCTAATTATTCAAAATTGCACACTAAAATCATGTGATTGCCAACACAAACAATAATTGCTGCCAAAAAAAAAAACAATCAGGCCATTGTTTTGCACATATGATAGTATAAGTACAAACACACACAAAAAAATCTGAAAATAGGAATTTTGGTTGAAATTGTGATGTGCTACAAATTTAAAATAATAAATCACTAGAAATTACAATGATGTGCTAATTAGGTATTCTCATTGGTTTTATAATTCACATGCAACGGTTGTCCACACAAGGAAAAAACTTCAAGTACTGTTTTTTCTTGACACATATTGGAGAAAAAGGTAAATATACAACCAAGTTTCTGCGTTGCAAACAACATGTAGTAATTTGTACCTTGTTAAAACATTTGAATCTCCTGGAATAGACATTTATGCGTTACGACAGATCTCGTGTGACAAAATTAAAGGTATCCAAATACTGTCTGTTTTCAGTACATTGTAAGAGCTAGGTATAAACATATTCGCCTAGGTCCAAGCATACACCAGATTCAACTGATAAAATATGTATGCCGACTTCAAGAAATTGTTTAACTTACCCGCAACTTCAACAACCCCGTGAGGTTCAACAAATCCGCTGTTTGGACGAACACAGTATCGCTTTGGAGCGGTTGTTTTTACTTTGAAACATACTTTCCTTTCTGTGGGGTTCGTGAGTTTAAGGTTTGCTGTGACGACTGTTGTGAAAGATCCTAAAATAAACCAGGTGATTGCATAGTTAAATATGTGATAAGCGAGGCAGAATTTGATTCAAGTCAGAAACGGCTTTACGCCACAATAAGAAACAATAGAAACAAGAATTACCTCGAAAGCGTAATTCTGTGGCTGGTTCAAGCTTCAGCACTTGTTCTGCCTTCGCCATTTCTAATCATGGACCGCAGGAGTGAGGAAAGTCGTAAAAATCCACGGCGATTTTCCAACAAAATACTCCCCAAACCCCAAACAATATGGCAGCCAACTCAACGATGACGAATGGGTTTTGCAATGAGCATGTGTCAAGGTGAGCTCGCTGACCGAAAGATGCGGGCGCACCAATCAGATCCAAGATGGCGGCCATGTCGCGCGGTACAAGCCAGCTGTGTTGTAGGCGTGAACAGGGAGGCCCCTACTTCCACCCCCACTGGCCGCTTTCCCTTCGTGTTTCGCCCATTTTATGCCTGTTATACAGGCTATCTACACCCCTCACGTTCCACAGTACTTTCACAATAATAGGGGGGTTACATTACTATTATTAGGTATCTTATTTATGGACCGCAAACTAGTAATAAGGACAAATTCAGTGACTATGAGTCTATGACCAAAGTTCTCAAAACTTGACTCTGCACTTGGTCCAAACATTTTGAAAACCCAAAATTTCTTCTGATGTGGACGAAAATAACCCATCTCTCTTCCCAAGTACCAGCGATGGGGAAGGGTGAGCTTGACAGAATGCGAGGTGGGGGGGGGGGGGGTGAACCCTGCGATGAACTTGCATCCCATCCAATGGGAGTGACAATGTTCCTATTCGCCTCAAGCTATCGCACTGAGAAGGCTTCATTTTACTTTCTATACCGTTGAGAAATGTTGACGGTTTCATTGTTACGTTTAGATAGTATACTCCTTATAGACTACAAACATTTTAAGTGCTTGTGGGGTAATTGGTGAAATGTTTGGCTATTCTGGTGTGATTGGTTTTCAAGAATTGCAAAATTTCTGAGTGGCAAAAGCGCTAAATTATCAACTCAGATATTCTTTGTAAAATTTTAAGTTTTCAATCCCGCGTCGTTCAAATGGTATTCATTATATCGAGCTTAAATTCCTTGGGACAGTTAATCTTGCTGTGCCCTTTCAATATTCAGAATTCTGATGTTTTTTGCTGCTTTATTAGAAACTGTATACCTTAATGAGGCAAATATTGAAAACAATGATTTCCCTGTACCACAGTTTTAAAAGGCAAAGGGCAACACCGTCCTCAGACCTAGTCTGCAGGCGTACTAGCGCCATCTTTGATAACCAGTCAGGTAAACAACGAACAACACGCTATATGAACTCTTGTTTATTAGTTCCAGTGCTATTGCGTAAGTGTCTCCTCATTGCAATGTGGAGTTATCACCTTCTACTGAATGCACACCAGTGGAACCAGGATAATTCGTTTTTTTTTCTCTTATAGAAAGCAAGCGATAAATATTGAAGCATTTCATAATTATTACAAATACGTATACTCTATATTAGTTTATCTTATGTTGAGCTAAATTTCGATCGATTATTTTTGTATGAAATGATATATTATGCTTGTATATAACTTAAAATAGCTTTTATAAATCGCGATGGAGGTATGTAACTTCGTTTAACTGCCCCGCCTGCACACAGAAATATTGTTTTCCCTCAGTTAACAGCCCGATGGCTAGGGGTTTCTAAACAAAATATTGCAAACTATTGCATTTAAAAATGCAGTATTTTGCGGTATGCATTTATTGTTCATGTCTGTAACATAATTCTATACATGCACGTAATAAAGCTGCGAAGCAATGTAACTACGAGATGAAATAAAAACCGACCAATCATGTAATTTAGAGTCGAAATGACTTGAATCGGTTTAAATATTTTCAGTCGTTTGCACGTAAGACGCTTTGTTTTTAAATATTCGTATAAAATATCATATAAAACAGCCTCCCAGCCCCACGACTGTGCGTAATAACCATGCAGATATTTTAATTAAGAAATAGAAAACATTTCGCGTGTTTCTGTCGAGTTATAGAAACACGAAGTTTAGTAGAACGAGAAATGCTGTGGGAACGCGAGCCGCGATATTACGTGTATAACTTTCAATACTGGCTCTGGTCGTTCAAGGAGTTGATAACGTTATCCTCCGCTTAAATCACTATCCCGAGGGCAAGCGTTACCAAAAACAACTACGTTATTCACGGGATGGCAATTTATTCCGTGGATAGCGTTAGATACTCTCAAAACAACAGGGCCCTGGTCTACAACAACCAATTTGAAATTGGTTCTGTCCATGACATTTTTGGCTGTTCTCAGCATACAGTGGTTCTATCCATTCTCGGATACCGAATTCGGGCCTAAAACTTTCCCCGAAATTGTAATCGGGCATTAATTTATGGATATTTTAGAGTCGCTAGGGCGGTTTTCAATTGAGTGTGGAAAGTAAGCAGGCAATTACTTTGGTTGTGGTTTTGGTCTTGCTACGATTTTAGATTGGCTGAGTAGTCTAATTGATTAGTAGTTGGTTTGGTTTTGGTTTTACGACGCTCAATTGAAAACCGCTCTATGAGCTGTTGATTCTACTCAGTGAGTCGTCCAATGCGTGCATAATATCTACTCTATGAGGTAATGATCCTCGGCCTCTAGTTCAGTGGCTTGTACGAGTTTACTGAAAACTGAATGTGGATTTGCCATTAATACACCGGGACTGTCAAACTCTGCAATCTGAAACACAGCAAATTAAAGTTGTAAAACAGTCTGCTCTTACTAAACAAACTGGCAGAGATGCAAGTTTACTGCTTTGGCAGGTTACTTGTAATCAGCTACTTGGCAAGACTTGAATCTGAATTTATCTCAGAATCTGTAGTTATACCTCTTTTCTCCTTTAATGTTACTTTCATGGCGATACGTCGGTTATGGCAACAACACTGAACGGAGATAGGGGTAGATTTAGTTTTAAAATGTTGCCATTTGAAGATCACTAGTAGCTATTTCTCGAGGGTATCATAGTTATTTTGCATAAGGTCTTATGTTTTTCAAAAGAACATACCTGAAATAGTCTTTTACCTCGAGTACAGTTCAAAGTCAAGGTATAATTTTAGCAGACAATTGTTCCACAAGTTAATGAATGAGGGAAGGATTTGCTAAAACACTGATTTTAGTAAAATTTCATAGGAAGGGTGAAATACACAGACATTGTCTATATGCTGTGATCTGGGGATGTTTTCTTTCCGAAAATAAGTAATCAATAATCTCATTTTTCGTAATTACTCATGATCAAAGAATAACAAAGTTACCTACTATGGGCCTAACATATAACTGAAGAAGCGAATTAGTTTCATCAAGTTAAAACAAATAAATTTTTTTTAGTGTTACGTGGTTTTACTGACCTTTCCTTGATCCATGACAAGAATACGATCAGAGTCCATTACTGTGTGCAGGCGATGTGCAATTGTTAACAGAGTGCAGTTCTTAAATGACTCCCGGATTGTGTCTTGGATTTTCGCGTCTGTTGGATTATTAAAAAACACTTGCTTTTTTAGCCTGCATTTGTCGAAAAACCTCACCGACATGGCAAAAATAATTTAATGTGGTTGAAGGAGCGCAACTAAGCAAGTATGAACTTTCAACAGGTCAGTTGCTTCATCCATCCACGTACCGTACGACCTTGTTAGAGTCTACCATCAACAACCCGAACACGCATTGCGTGCCTATGATCTACCAACAACATAGAGGTTTAAATGATAAGTTAGGCAAAACAAACTACGGAAAAACAAAATAGAGGATGAAATTCAATCGGCTTCACCTGTTTCAGGGTCAATGGAGGCAGTAGCTTCATCGAGTAATAAAATCTGAGAAAAAAAACGAAGACACTTCACATGAGAACAACGTTACTTAGGCAGAATAGCGTATGAGCACACACTATGCATTCCATGACAACCGTACACTCTACTAATACAACAAACTAGAAAGCAGTCTAAATTTCTTTGCTGCCACTGCTTGTTTCAGTGTTGAATAAACTCACCTTGTTGTTTCTAAGAAGCGCTCTCGCCATACATAGCAACTGTCTCTCACCAACTGAAAAGTTCTCGCCATTTTCAGCGACAGGCGCCATGAGTTGAGCTGGCAAGCTGTCCACCTGAAAATCAATCCAATAACACCATCATAACGGCTTCTCTAAATTGAGTTTAAGTATGACACTTTTGTGATGTCAATGGAGTGTACACGTTCTTCGTTTTTCGTTATCGTCCAATATGCGAAAGACATCTCGCATTGTTATACCTCCAACTCAAATACGTTTTCCGATTGGAGGAGAACGTGCACGTGTCATGGGTCAAAACTCTCTAACTCCCTAGGGAAACAAGAACTTGAACTTTAAAAAAAATTAAAATATAAAAATTTTATTAGCACTCTCCATGGGGGCTTTTCAGTGCTAATACTACTAAATAAGTTACATTAAAATTAAAATGAAATGAATCAACGTACAAAGGAATTATAAAAATGACATGAAATAAGGTAGAATTATGTGACAATATTGTATTATGAAAATACAACTTTCGACTCACACGTGATCAGGTCGTACTCCTTGAAACTGCGGAAAATATGCGTCCCTGCCGGCGTCAAGCAAACAAGTTTTTCGCAGTTTTTTCTTTTCTTTCTTTTTTTTAGTTGGAAGGTATAAAAAACTCACTGTGTGGTTTGTTCCCCTCGACACTCAAAGCTAGAAGACTTACCATTTCTCTTAAATGTGCCCTCTCCAGAGCTGTCCAAAGTTCACTGTCACTATGTTCTTTAAATGGATCCAAGTTATACCTGACAAGAAACAAAAGTAACATCAGAGCTGTAGTAGTCAATGATTTGGACTAAGAAGGTTGTTATACCTGACAGTTCCAACAAACAGCACTGGGTCTTGAGGAATAACGGCTATTCTGGATCGAAGATCTTCCAGGCCTGCAATAGAACATGTTTAAGTTAAGTTAGACTATCTGCCCAGGAATCATGGTAGTCCTGTTCATTACGAAATAGGAAACATGTTCCGTGCTTCTATCGAGTCGACAGGCGAGTATTTAAACGAAAAAAAGAAAACAACTTGTTTACGTTGATCATCAAAATGTAAATTCTCTTTGCTCGCGCCATCATTATACCAACAGCTCTGCGTTTCAAACGAGTTTTTTCTGATAACTGCAGAACTTCTCGCGCGCTCATTGGCTAATTTTCATTGTCAATACGCGGACAGACACATGAATTTATAATTTATGCGATGCGTCAACGAGCGAGAGCGGACAATTTAACAATTTGTTATCGAAAAAAAACAAATTGACGTCAGTTTTGATGCGTCTGTCCTGTTATTGACCATGAATTTCGTCATAACATTGTCAAAGTAGTCTGCGGGTCCACTCGGCTATCACCTGGTGGATCCAGAGCTACTTTGACAATGTTATGACGAAATTCATGATCAATAACAGGACAGACGCATGAAAAACTGACGTCAATTTGTTAAACAGAAAACGATTTTAAACCAATCAGCGCGCGTGTTTTCTTTGGGCTATTTTCTAAATGTTGCTAGTCATGGAATTGTTTTCTAGAATGCAACTACCGTGATTCTTTCCAGGCACGTCTCAGAGAGGAAATTGGATATTCTACTAAAAAATACTGATTTGATGACGTTCGCGAAACACATTCACTGATTCTATAGCAGTAAACCTGCCAAACAGCGTACGAGCTTGAATTTCCGCTGCTTTTTACTCCACGGGAGCAAGAGAAAATAGGAAGTGGAATAAAGTGCCTTGTAATAAAGATCAAAGAAAAATGCACATATCACCTTAAGGCGGGGTCTACCTGAATTTAAGTGAAGTTTTATGAATTCTAAAGAGGGATTAAAAGGAAAAAAAGTTTTAGAACACCACCAGATANCCCGAAAGGGCACCCGGGTTGGTGGACTACTGTTTGGTGTACATGTACCAAATTTTAACTTCAAATTCTAATTTTAAAACAACATCAAATCTTCAAAATTTCCTATTTCCATAAATTCAGCTTCTACTAATCCTGTGAGAAAAAATATTTATCCCCAAATATACCCCAGAATCACCAAAATATTTACAAAACAACTCAAAACGTAGATATGTGAGATGAGCAGAGAGATTTTTGACTGCTCGAAACGTGAACGAGATATTTGCGTTAAAACCATAATACCCAGCCAAAATACGGCCTTCGTGTTAACCCCCGCCTTCAATGGCCAAGAGCACCTTAAAAGACGTTTCGTCGAATGCTTAATGTACCAAACTGCTATAAAAGCCGCAGTGCCGTTCATTTCGCTGTAAAACATCATTTCTTAACAGACATGTTTAAGACTGTTAGTTCAGTGTACAAACCTATCTGAGTTATGTCAACATCATCAATATGTATGGTTCCCTCTGTGGGTTCAACTAGTCGCCATACCAACACACCAAGAGATGACTTGCCAGAGCCTGTTCTTCCAACAATACCGATCTTCTCGCAGCTTCGGATTTCACAATTGATATCGTTCAGCACCAGAGGCAGACCATCGCGATAGCGCATCTGTTTAAAATAACAGTAGCAGTCAGTTGTGTAGTTATTCATTAACGGTAGCATAAAAAAGAGAATTTTTCTTCAAGGTACATAGATATTTCTACTTTCAAAGACCTCTGGTTTAATAATTCTAGCCGTATTTACCTTAATACCTGACAACCTTATCGCTCCACCGTCTGGCCAATTGGGTGCAGGTTTCTTATCCGGGATTTCTGGCTCGGCCTCACTTGGCACGGACCGGATGTAATAGCTGATTCGCTCAACGCTTGTGAACCGCGCCTCCGTTTCCGCCACCTGCCGAACGGTGAACTGGAGCAAGGTTGTCATCTGCGTGTGATAGACAGGGGGAAAATAGTTAACAAAGGAAAGGGTTGAACGTCTGCATGCAGGCTTAGAATTTAACTTCCACGCTAGCCTGTGATCAGGCTCTTCACTTGCAGGCTACTGAAGAATCTAATAGTTCACGGTTAGAGGCTGAGGCTTACAGAACTACAACAAGGAAACTCACATTGAGGTTAAGGCATGAACAAGCATTTTTTGTTGTTCTTTTATTCTTCCAAGCCTCGGCGCCACGTTAGAATTTTAATATATCGAAATTATATTATTTATTTAAAGGAGCTAAGTCACGGTTTGCGTATCTTGAAAAGTTAAGCCTCAATTTTTCAAGTTCGTCAGTTGTAATCTGTATCCATGTTAATCTTCTCCATCCTTAACCATCCTTGTTTCTTTATGGTTTATTATTATCTCTTTGGTGCATTTCTATCTAAGTAAACTTCTATTTTCAGGTTCCCTTCAATTTAAAGGTCATTCTGCACGCGGCCAAAATAACTCAAAATACCACGACTGAGCTCCTTTAACTGTCTTGCGTGACTTTGAGTTTTCTTACCCTTATGGAGTAAGTCAACACAAGACCAAGGAAAGCCGGCGGGAGGGTACCCTTGATAAGCACTACCATCAGACCTGCAATGGTGACTATACAAATTGTTAACAAGTCCAGACGAACTGCCAGCCACCGCTGAGCAGAGAAGAACATGAAAAACGGCCGCGTGTTCTTATCTAGGAGTTCCTTCAAAACTGCGTTGAACTCAGCCATCTTGTTGTAGGCGTGTAGTGTAGAGAGACCTTGAACCGTGGCTGTCAAATGCGAGTAAATGGGCGAGCGTGTGACCCCGTCCATACGCTTGAGCTGGCGAGATGAGCGATTAAAAACGCGATTAATTAGCGCAAATATAACAATCAGTGGGGCCAGACCGATTAAAAACCATGGAAACACCGCGGCGACCATGCCAATTGAAATCAAAATACGCACAATATTCAGAGAAGCTGAGTCAATATTAAATGGCAGATGAACATCTATTTCGTCAAGATCTTTCGAGAATCTGTTCAAGATTCTCCCAGTGGGCGTGGTATCGAAAAACGCCATAGTTGCCCGTGAAACTTTGTGAAACACTTTGTCGTGAAGTTGCGAAGACGCTTTCAGAGTAAAATGCACAACCAAGTACGTTTTCACCAAGATGCCTATGAAGAAGGCCAGTGATGACAGAACGTACACGAGGATGTAGAAATTATTTGACGGATTGCCTGCGATGATGCCAGATCTCTCAGGAGTTGTTTTGTTCTGAAAATGAATTCAAGCAAACAAAATAATTCAAACTCAATGACGCCAATAAGATAAATACAATAATAAAATAATATTTTGGAATTTCATTTTCGATCAGATATAATTAGGTCTCAATGTTGAGCTGAGCAGGTGTAAAAGTTAATTGAAAGTTTATAAAAAATATATGAAGAGATCTAACGGGTTTCCAATGTAAATTAAAAACAACATTTGAAGACACGAGGAACTCTAAATACTCAGAATAACCACAACAACACTAGCCTATGCCTCCATCTTTCTTTATGCAACTCAACTTAAGGTAANGTGAGCTAGAGCCATTTTTCAACTGATAGAGCTCAATATCAAGGCAAATCCGTCATGTTTTCAATATGCGCGTGCACGAGCGCGCGCTAATGACGCCATAAATTATGCGCAGCAAGGATGCGCAATGCAAATGTGAGGAGTGACCTTAATAGACCAGTTTCGTATTCTCGGTATTGGACTGGAACTAGCATGCAATTGAGGCTCCTACGAGGGAATAACATCAAAAAGAGATTAATGCCGCTTGCATTTGGAAAGACTCCCCGTATTAGCCTCAGTTGCATGCTAGTTCCAGTCCAATACCGAGAATACGAATAAGGCCTAGTGCCGCACGGGAAAGGAAATTCTAAATCGATGATCCCGTAACAAGCAACTATTCACGCTACATGCATGTCTCCAGAGCAATGTTATCAGCACAAAATTTTGGCGGAGAAAACCTACAATTTTGTCCTCTTAAGGAAAACTGAAAACCGTTAGTTAAATCATCAGATATTTGCTAGTGTCTGACCTGTTCAGCAGCTGCATTTAACCAGACGCTGAGCCAAATGTCCACGAACAACTGTCCACACAGACAGACTGTCACGAATAACATCAGGAATAAAAACACACAGTAACCTACGGAATACACAAGACAATGTGTATTATCAGGAAAATCACGATTAAGCGTTTCCGGGAGCGTTAACCGACTTCTGGCATATCTCGGTTTCTGTTTGAAACTGAACTCGATCGTCACATACTTACTCCCAGTAAAAGATAGTTTAGATCCTAATAAATGAAGGCAGGTAGATAATGGGAGTATAATTGAATTTAGCAGACGTTTTCCTAAGCGGCCTTCTAAATATGATTTCTATGCTGTACTTTAGTTCACATCAGGAATGTTCATTCACCTCCGGCTGACTTCATGTAGGTTTTGTACGTCTCCAATGTCACAGCTCCTTCAGCTCGATCTTCTTGTTGTACAAGTTTGCCAGCTGTGAAAAAAATATATCCTTTATACATTTCCCTTTCGTTCAACCAAAACATATGATGGCAGGTAGAACACGAGCTTCATTGTGATTGCCTGAGAGCAGGCCAATTTATCGTTAACTTTTAATTTGCACTGCAGTGCAAATAAATGCAGGCGTGTTCGTAATTTTCTCAGTGACATAATAACTGAGTAATCGTATGAAAGCTCGAGTAACTATGGATTTACTCGTTGTGTAAATCCTTCACTGCACTCGCGTTCATACGATTACCTCTACCAATCACTGACGAAAAACAAAAACATTTGGTAAGTGCGTGCTTTCCTACATACAAGTCGATAGTGAAGCAGACAACAAACTGGAACCTGGTTTGCTATCGCTCAGAGAAAACTGGGGCGAGCCGTCTAAACCATGGAGGATAAAGAGGATAGTACAAATTGAGATAGTTTTAAATAAAAAAATCAAGAACTATTTCCCCTTTCAAGGAGACCCTTCTGCGATCATCGTCTCACTAGCGAATACGTGATGATGAGAGAACCAATGAAATCCGCGAATTTACAACAAAACAGTGCCATGTGATATTAGTACCCACTTTCCTCTCTTCTCTTTTTCTCTTCTTCCTCTTTCCTAGCTTCCGCCTCAACCTCCAACCCAGACTTCCTCAGACTCCGCCGCCGGGCACTCCCATGAGAGCGTCTGCTGACCCGGTCGTTTAGTTTGAACGGCTCAAAGTGGCCTTCACTCAAACTGTCACGAATTGAAGCCTTCCTGTGACTCGCTGACAGCTGCCGTTCAAACAGTTTGCTGATACCATCTGTTGATAAGGGTGTTAGCGGCGTGGTCGGACTGTCCGGCCGCCGCTGAGCTTCAGATACAGGAATAAAGGCATCAGTCTCTTCCTCCATTAGCTCCTCTTCCACGTCTCTAATGAACAGGCGAATCAAAGTGGCGAATTCCTACAAAGAAATAAAGACATGTAGAGCTGATTACAATGAAATACTAAAATTGCACCAGGGTTATGATGAAAATTGAAATAAAATTCGACAAAAAATAAAATTAGAAAAGGTAAGTAAAGAATATAAAAATTCGCTTAAGGGTTTATTTCTTAATTTTCTTTTCCAGGTTAAAACAGATTTGCATAATTGAAAAGCTGTATCAAAACTACTTCATAATTAAACTGTTTGATAAAAAGGTCCTTTATCCTGCAGTACTCTTAAAAAGCGGGATTGTGAACGGCCTATGAGTTAAAGGGGACCGCAGGAGTTAAAGCTATTGAAAGAAACTTGGCAACAGAAAAAAATGCGAATTATAAACAATATGAAGCGTTCTTTTTAGTTCTAGAAACTACTCGCCGGTTTTGTGGCCTGAAAAGTTTAGAGTGACAAATTGTTTACCCCATTGTTGGAAATGAGTTCATCGTATGTCCCTCTCTCAGCGATCTTGCCATTTTTCATGTACAACACAATGTCACATTGACTCAAGTACTGTAAAGAAAAAACACAACATAGCATTAGAACTATCTGATCACTTCCAGTCAAAAGGGGTATGGTAAATAATTAAAAACTCTCTTCTACGTCATTTTGATAAGGTAAAGAATAACCGGCAATAAAATGTAAACTTAAAAGGTATATTCATTTCTTGCGTTCATCAACAAAGTGCTGGAATATCAGTGATGAATTCGTCAATATTTCCACGGATATCACACAGACATTGCTTTGGCAAAATAAAGTCTGGTACTACAAGCACTCTATCCTTGTTTCTTTACGCGCGGAGCATAAGACAAAAACAACAACAACAGCGGGTGGGAAAAACGATCTAGTGGTTTTTTTTTT